AGACGACGATTACGATTACGACTACAACTACGACAACGTGTACGAGTACAAGTACGATTACAACCACGTTTACAACCATCACGATGACAACCACGACTACAACCACTACTACAACCAAAACCACTGATTCCTATTGCAATCGTCGTGAGAAGATGGTCACAAATCCTCTCGCGTGTAGGGTGGTAGCCCACAGTGGTTCTTCCTTGGGGGGGGAACCCCCCAACATTACCGCTGCCGCCCAACAATAGACGGGACGTAATCTCCGCCGCGACGACGACGACAACGACGACGACGACAGCGACTAGTAGTAGTAGTAGTAGCAGCAGCAGCAGCAGCAGCAGTAGTCGTAGTCGTAGTCGTAGTCGTAGTCGTAGTCGTAGTCGTAGTCGTAGTCGTAGTCGTAGTCGTAGTCGTAGTCGTAGTCGTAGCCGTAGTCGTAGTAGTAGTAGTAGTAGTAGTAGAAGTAGAAGTAGAAGTAGAAGTAGAAGTAGTAGTAGTAGTAGTAGTAGCAGTAGTAGTAGTAGCAGCAGTAGTAGTAGTCGTCGTAGTTGTAGTAGTCGTAGTTGTAGTAGCCGTAGCCGTTGCCGTAGTGTTGTAGTGAGGGTGGTGATAGCAGTGGTAGTTGTTGGTGTTGTAGTTGTAGTTGTAGGTGTAGATGTAGCCGTAGTTGCAGTTGTAGTGTTAGTAGAAGTCGTAGTTGTAATTGTTGTTGTAGTAGTAGGAGTAGTATTAGTAGTAGTCGATGTCGCCGCTGTCGTAGTCGCATTAGCATTAGTAGTAGTAGTAGTAGTAGTAGTAGTAGTAGTAGTTGTAGTACTAGTACTAGTAGTAGGAGTAGTAGTAGTAGTAGTAGTCGTAGTAGTAGTAGTAGTTAGTAGTTAGTAGTAGTTAGTGATTAGTACTTAGTAGTTAGTAGTAGCAGTTAGTAGTTAGTAGTGAGTAGTTAGTAGTTAGTAGTTAGTAGCAGTAGCAGTAGTAGTAGTAGCCGTCGTAGTAGTAGTAGTAGTAGTAGTAGTACGAGTAGAAGTCGTAGTAGTAGTAGTAGCAGTAGTAGTAGCAGTGGTAATAGCAGTAGCAGTAGTAGTAGTAGTAGTAGCAGAAGAAGTAATCATCATCATAGCAATGGGAATAAAGATAGTCGTAGCCGTAGCCGTAGTAGTAGTACTCGCCGTAGTCGCCGTAGACGTCGTAGGCGTAGTAGTAGTAGTAGTCGTCGTCGTCGTTGTAGTAGTAGCAGTCGTCGTCATAGTCGTAGTTGTAGTCGCAGTCGTAGTCGTAGCAGTAGTAATCGTAGTCGTAGTGCAAGTATTAGTAGTAGTAGTAGTAGTAGTAGTAGTCGTCGTCGTGGATATTGGATATTGTAGGAGTAGTAATAGTAGTAGTAGTAGTAGTAGTAGTAGTAGTAGTAGTAGTCGTAGTAGTAGTAGTAGTAGTAGTAGTAGTAGTAGTGGTGGTAGTAGTAGTAGTTGTTGTCGTCATAATCCTACTGATCATCCTTACTTGCTTGTCCTCCTCCTTCTCCTCCTTATCCTCCTCCTTAGGAATATTGGTACTTGTAGGAGTAATAGTAAGAGTAAGAGGAGTAGTAGCACTTGATATAGTAATAGAAACTGTGCGTGTGCCTCCTCATGTCATTCCGAAGAAGAAGAAGACGAAGAAGAAGAAGGAGGAGGATGAGGAGGGAGGGAGGAGGAGGAGGAGGTTTTAGGACCAGTCCCATTCACCGCCGAGTGAAAAGGTGGGATATAACTAAAGATTCTGAAAAGTTAAAAGAAGCTTTGCGTTTCGCCCCCTTGGGACTCGTCGGGCCCAATTGCCTACGGTGCAGCATCGAACGAGTATCGTCTACGTTGGGACCAGAGGCAGAGCGGAGAGACTCAATATGGAGCCCAGGGGGTAAATAAATATAACAAACCCACATGGACGGCCGACCGAGGCCAACTGCACACGTGAAGCAACCAGAAAAGATCATTTGCTTTCCCATCGCCACTCTTGGTCGGCGAGTGTTGTCAGCCACTCGCAGAGGGGCGTAGGGGGAAGGGGGAAGGCTTCTCAGAAGCACCCCTGGCTCTTGAGAAGTACACATGAGGCCTCCGCCTTCTGAGAAGCAGCCTACCTCTAAGAAGCCGTCCCCCCTACCCCTACCCCCCTCTGCGCGCCGCCACCCCTTTCCGTCATGACGGCCCCGAACACTCGCCCTTGGACCTCTGACGGGGCCCAGGGACACACAAACAAACACACACACGCCCCAGCACCCCCCACACTCTCAATATCTTCTGAATGCTCGTCTCCCCTTCCTCTTCCCATACTTGTTCTATATATATATATATATTGTATACATATATATATATATATATATATTCCTGGAGATCGACGCCTATATATATATATATATATATATATATATATTCCTGGAGATATTCCTATATAGATGTAAATATGTATATATCTATATATATATATGTCCTATATCTCTTCCTGGAGATCGACGCCTCTCCCT